ACTCTGTTGCCCAGACTGGAGTACAGTGGCCGCTCCCGGCCACCGCAGCCTCGGCCTGCTGGGCTCCGGCGATCCTTCCGCCTCAGCCTTCCAAGTAGCTGGAACTACAGGCACGCGCTACCATGCTCGGCTAATTTTTGATTTATTGTAGAGATGAGGTCTTGCCAAGTTGCCCAGGCGGGTCTCGAACCCGCGGGCTCAGGCAATCCACTCACCTCAGCCTCCCTAGGCACGGGATTACAGGCTGAGCCACGGAGCCTGGCTAAAAGGGTGGATTTTATGGTATGTAGTTACAACTCAGAAAATCAACTCCACCGGGCATGGTGATTCACGCCTATAATCCCAGCACTGTAGGAGGTGGAGGCGAGAGGATTGCCTGAGCCTAGGAGTTCAAAATCAGCCTGGGCAGCATAGCAAGGCCTCGTCTCTACAATAATTTGAAAAATAGCCAGGCATGATGGTGCACGCCTGTAGTCCTAACTACTTAAAAGGATGAGGTGGAAAGATCACCTGAGCCCAGCAGGTCGAGGCTGTGGTAGCTGTGATTGTGCCACTACACTCCAGCCTGGGTGACAGAGTGAGACCCCGACTCAAAATATAAAAAGAAGCCAGTGGCTCAGCGTGTAATCCCACGCCTTGGGAGACTGAGGTGAGTGAATTGCCTGAGCCCGCGGGTTTGAGACCCGCCTGAGCAGTGAGACCTCATCTCTCCAATAAATCAAAAAATCAGCTGGGCGTGGTAATGTGCGCCTGTAATTCCAGCTACTTGGAAGGCTGATGCAGAAGGATCACCGGAGCCCAGCAGGTCGAGGCTGCGGTGGCTGGGAGCGGCCACTGCACTCCAGTCTGGGTGACAGAGTGAGACTCCAACTCAAAAAAAAATGGAAACAACCCAATTGTCCTTCAAAACTGGGTGGATTAACAAAATGTTGTAGATCCATACAGTGGAATATTATTTGTCCATAAAAGGGAGTGAAGTAGTAATACATGCTGCAAGCAGGATGAACCTTGAAAACATTGTGCTGCGTGAAAGAAGCCTGACCCCAAGGGCCACATATTGTATGATTCTATTTGCATGAAATGTCTAGAAGAGAGAAATCTGTCAACACAGGGAGATGAGTGGTAGCTGTGGGTAAGGGAGGGAGGAACATGGAGTGACTGTTGATGGCCATAGGGTTTCTTTGGGGGTGATGCAATCAGTGTTCTGGAGTTAGTGGTGATGGTTGCACATTGTAAGTGTGCTACAAACCACTGAACTGTATATGTATACATTAAAAGGGTGGATTGTTTTTTTTTTTTTGAGTTGGAGTCTCACTCCGTGGCCAGACTGGAGTGCAG